GTTAGATGAAGACATTGTACTTCCAAAGACCTCTCAGTGGCTAAGAAAGATAATGACAGTATTTCCCCCCCCTTTTTTTTGCTAGATGACGATGCATTTTTTACATTTATTTTATGTTGGAAAGATGTCAGGAAATTCTCATGTTTCACAGAGAGGGCCGTGTAAACCTTCTATTAATAACTATATTGATTTATTATGCAGCTCAACAGGCTGTTGATGAGTGCTTGTGTGTGGACATATGCATGGAAATCCACCATTTTGAGCACTTTTATTTTTACTAAATCTTTTCCCTTTTTTTTGTAAAATCAACATCGGGGCATTTGCTCTTTGAAAAAAACATCAGCACCCTCAGCACCTTAGATGAAATATTTCAGTTGATGCAGCACTCTTGGGAAGATGATGTAATGGCGTCAGTTATAGCGTTGTGGTCCCAGGTGACTGGTTAGTCTCTGAGCCCAGTCCTCCTCTGAAATCATTCCAGCCCAGAGCCAATCAAAGCCCAAATGAATTAATATTCAACTAATATTAATCAGTTCAGACAAATTGGCTGATGGCTCTTCTGTTTTATATTTTTGTCTTCCGTCTTCATTCTTCTTCCTTTTGTTTTCTATCTTTGGATAGATCTGACCTTCATCTCTCTCCCTCTCCCTCTCTCCCTCTCTCCTCTCCTCCATCCTGAATGAGTTCATTATTACGAGATGAGTTGTATTTCTCTTTATCTGCACATGTTAATTACTTACACACTTCTGTTGCATATTCAATCCAGTCAACCAAAAACAAGGAAAAGTAATGTTTCAAATATAATTGATTTCAAGAAACAAAACCATCATTGCCTTTAGTTTGACTTAAGTTTCCAATGATTTCAAAGTTTGAGTTTTTGCAATTTTGTTATACCTACTGAGTTCTGCATTGGAGGATCTCTGTATGAGTTTGGATATAGTTTTTCCTAAACAGATGGAGAGAGTATTATAGCCTGGTAGGCAGATCTGTTCTCAGTCCTGTGTTGCTGTCAGATCCGGCTACCAGGCTGAGCGGGTATTGTTGATAGCAGTATTTTGAAGGAGCTTATGCAGTGGAATGTGGTGAAGCAGTACCGATTGGGTCGGGCCGACAGAAACATACTCTGTTTAATGCTTTTATCTGCCTCTTAGGCCCTCAAACGGAAGCCCGATTTGTTCTTGTCTGAGAGCCTTGACGTGAAAGCAGTGTTCCACTGTGGTAAGTTTGCGCATTGTTTACATAAATACACACACCGTCCCTACACTCTATTCTGGGTGTTTTGCTACAATTCCTGCAAAATATGTGCCTGTCAGTACAAAGTACAAACTGTGAATGTTTGACACCATCCTCCAGTAGTTTATTTATGTTTCTGACTCCCTCTGCCACCTCTAGGAGTTCTGTCACTCAAATTTCCTGAGGCTCCGACAGTCAAGTCAACATGCTTGTTCTTTGTAAGCACACACACACACACACACAGACATACACAACTTGAAACCTTTGAAAATATGCATGTTTATAAATGAGTCATTTTGCTTTAACTGTGCTGACTGTCTCTGTGTTTCTGGCATAGACTGAACTGTTACCCCACTGCTCTGACGTGCCTCCACTGGCCAGAGTGGTACAGGAGGACGGCAAGCTGCTGATCCAGGCTGTACTGGAGGTGAGAAGCACCACATTACACATTTCCACGTCACGCCACAGAAAAGTTGTATTCATTTCACTGACGCTGCAGTTGGCTGAATTATCACACATAAACTTTTCTTCTTCTCTCATTGTAATTAAGTCCCTGCTGTCTCCCCGCTTTCTCTAGGGCATCGGGGGCGGGGCATCTCGGAGCCTGATGGACCAGTTTGCAGAAGTGCTTTTCTCTCTGAACAAGCACTGCTTTTCTCTGCTCGCTGTGTGGTTGAAGGAGGCGCTGCAGCCTCCTGGGTTCCCGTCATCACGGGTCACAATTGAACAGAAGGACAACTTCTCACATCAGATACTCAGGTAAGGCTGGCGGACATTTGTTTACAGGCTTATTTCGCTAATGAGTCCATTCAGTTGGTCATACACGTGATTTTCCGCATATATAATGATATGTATTTGTTCTCTTTACTGCCTCCCCCATCATGCAGAGAGCGAGTGAACAAGAGGAGGGTGAAGGACATAGTGAAGGAGTTCACACTACTGTGCAGAGGGCTCCATGGTACAGAGTACGCCGCTGAATACTGAAACTCTGCCCTTGAACTCTCACCTAACCGTGACCTCTGCCCTCAGCGCAAAACAGCTGGATGCCACAACAATACAGTTCTCACAAACCCCCATCAGTGAAGATATCGTGAAATGATTGTAATGATAACCCACCCCGCCGCAGGACAAGACATGGAACCATTCCAGCACAGACCTACCATCGGATTAATGGACAGATATGAAATCCCCGGTGGCTTTAGGGAGGCCCTCCTCTCTGCTCTGATATTTTTTTTTCTGTTCTGAGATTGATTGTTTCTCTCTCCCTCCCTCCTCTTATTTAAAGGTTGTTTCTTTAGAAGAGCTTCGAGCAGCACTCCCAGCATGCTGCCTCACGCTTCCTTCTATCTCTGTCTTGTTCTGCCTTTCTAGATCTTCCCGTGGTTCCTAGGCTGTTACCTGGTGATTAGCATCCATATGAAATGGTAGTGGTATCGTACGTAGCTACTTGACATTATTTTTCAAAATAAATCAAATTAATTATATAAATGTATATGTATACACATATAGAAAGATGGTGGTTGTCAGTCCTGCTGCTGCTAATGGGAAGAGAGAAGGTCCAATGTCAGGAGGGGATTCTGCAGGAAAGATTACATTAATACAATTATAATTACTCCCACTCGTGCCCCTGAGATCTCTGCGTTTGCCAAATTATCATGAAATGTTTTGTGAATTTGTCCTTTTTTTTATATAGATGCCTTTTTGGGGGGTATGAGTGGGGAAAGAAAGCTTAAAACCACATAACTGGACTCAAAACAGTCTGCTCTCTTGCCCAGCCCTCTGTGTATAGGGCTGTTAGTACCTCATGTACATACAGTCCCACCCATACTGCAGTCTCCTCGGGTTGTAGGGAGTGGTTTTTATGCATTGGTCCCTTAGGTAAAGCAGGACTACCCAGAATGAAGGCTGGAGAGGAATTATGGTAGCTGAAGGCACAAGATGGAAACTGAGAAGGGAACAGAGTATGGAGGGGTTAATAATCCTCACGATGGACTGCTTAGTCACTGTAATCGTGCAAAAATATTAATCAAGTTGTGCATATTAACAGTTATTGCTGAACACTTCTGTGTATTTGAGTGTATGCGTGTGTTCATACCTGTATGTTTGAGAGGTTGTGTGTGCACAGATGTATCTTTTTCCACTTGTTCAGTGCACTTATATTGGACCTACAGTACACATCCATAACTTCCTCCTATCTTTTTAACAAAGAGCCCATTCATTTCTTCACATCACGCTCATTCAGACTGCTCTTTTCTTAAACACTGACCAGGCATGTCCAGTATTTCACCTCACCGGCAATCACACCCATCTATTTAACGTCATTATCAACTGGAATGACCAGCCAGTGGTAATCATTGACCAGACTCATCTATCTATCTGTTATTGACACCAACTACTGCGCCTAACAAACTGCTTGTGAACAAGCCACCCAAATCCTTTCATCCATCTGGTCACTGCCTTGGAGAGGACCGAGAAGGATTAGAGTTCAGTAACAAAACATAAGATCTCTGAGAAAGTTATTCAGCGTTTTGCAACAAGAATTAACACCGACATTCTGTGCTCATCCATTATGCCAGAGACATTATTGGTGAAGCGATGTGACGGCTGTAAAATACACTGTCTGGTGAA